AAGTGAAAAGCTTTCCTCATTTTCTTAATTAATACCAACAACTCTTTGGAACTTACATGTATTACATGATCTTGTCTGCACAATAGGCAATATGCAAAGTACACTTGGTTGTATGATAAAATCGATATAATATGCAAAAAATATATATACCCAAGTATTTTAACAGGAAAGCCAGAACCTGACTGCAAAAGTGAGGAAATTTAAACACACACTGAATTCTGGCCCCAACAATTATACTTTAAAATAGTATTTATACTGAAAATACCAAGAACCTGATGACCTTAGAAAAACATTGATTGCTGATATAAGCAATAGACTCAATACACAACATTATGCTTCACAAATCTCCAAATTACACAACTGTATGTTGTAACTCTATAGTGTAATAGCCTGTAATGTACACACCCCCCAGCACATAGCTATTTTAGACATACACTTCTGCTTTTAAGTATCAACAAAATTCATTAACAATCCACTTGATGTTGAAAAGTGGAAAACTATGTTACTAGATAAAACATTTTCTCTCCTGTAAGAGGAGCACTGTCAAAGGTTTCTTGAGCTACAAGCAAGGAAATTTTTACATCAACTAATTTACTGTATTTGTTTCAATTCATGTTTTCCCTTACATGTTTCACAGCTATGTAGCCTACACAAGAAATACAAACTCAAATATACTGAAACTAAAGTTCACCATGGCTTTACATTGCATACACAAGTAATATGAACCTCAGCTACTCCAAAGCTTCTGTGGAACTGCGGGCCTCAAGAAAAGAAGATAAAAGTCTTAACTCTGCTTTGTTCCTATATTTAACTCCATAGTGACGCTTTTTAGGGAAATAAAAAATAGACATTCACGTACCTGCCATGCCAATAACTGGTTTGGTTCAAGTTCAATAGCCTTCTTATATGCTCCTTTGGCCTGATCAGGTTGCTCTAACTCAGCAGCTGCCAGGCCAATGAATACCCAAGCATTGTAATTATTTTTTTCTTGCTTCAAGACTGCCTAGAGTTACACAATTTTAAGTGAAACTGATGAGAGAAATGTAACTTATAGATCCATGTATTGCATTTTATCACTACAGTTTGGAGAATTATTCTATATGGCAATCCTAGAAGTTAAGTAATTTTTAGGAAGACACTAAGATTAGTAACTTCATCTTTTTATGCCAGAAAATGCTTTTTATCTGAAGTGTTTTGCCAGTAACCATATCTGTAGCTCAGCAATTAAAGCACTCCTGTGAGGTCTGGATTACAAACTGATTTCTATTTCTCTCACTCCAGATTTAATACTCTTATCACCACATGTAAGCAAATGCAAAAGGAAGAGGAATTAAAGTTTATGTGTGGGAAACAAACACGAATGATCAATGAAGTTAAATCTGAAAATTCATCTCAACTGTTACATCAATAAAGTACTCCATGCTTAGCAGGACCATACAGCTGTAGGGATATGGAAAGAGAAAAAAAACCCTGCAAAATATTTACCTTCCAAGTAAAAAAATTCATTACCTTGCAATGTTTTAAGGCTTCCTTATATTCTTTATTTCGTATTGCATCTCTAGCACTCTTTAATGCTGCTTTCACCTCTTTATTTGACATTGTGGCTGCTAAATAAAAAAAGCATATAATCAGTTCTCATAAAAAGATATACTGACACATACAAAATGTTAATATCCTACTGCAATTGCATAGAGAGCATTTTAAACACAGAAATACAGTGTAATATGCTAAAATGCATACAGCACTAAAACTTGATAAAAAAAATAACATGGGTAAAATTACTAGCTTTAGCTTCGAGACAGGATACCGTCAATATTCCAAACAGTTAAATGATACAAAGTAGCTACCCCAGAATGAAACTTTTGTTACAGGTTAAGATAAATTTAAGTAGGAGGAGAGATGTTATAAGAGGCCTTCATTAGACTTACAAGAAAAACATCCTGCATATAGTAATTCCTCTTTATAAAAGAAAGTAATCAGCGAACTGCACTTAAGCAGCATATTGCCCTCGGTATGTGTTTAAAGGGTTGCTAAGAATCAGGGCTTTTCTTGCATGCTCTCTACAGCAGCACCATGGCCAGCCTGTCACACTCTGGTGTGGCTCACCATGGTCCTCTGTCTCGACACACTCTTACTCCAGATTCTCCTTCTGACTACAGCCATGAATTGAAAAAGAATAAGTATTTCAGGACACATCGGAGACATCATGCTTTTGAACTCCAATAATCATGCACTGTTTCAGTGCATGTGGTACATATTTTGCCTTAAATGAACTTTAGAAACACCACAGTCAAAGTTGCCTAGATGGGATGACGCTGAGAAACAACAGCGCTGGTGCCAGTACCAAAAGAGATGGGAAAGGTGACCAGATGAAGAACAAAAAAACTTTTTTAGCAGCTGAAAAGCAGAAATAAAGAATGGTTGAAGGGCCCAGTGTTAATTTAGTAATGAAAGGACATGGGATGAGAGCGAATTTCCAAGACTCCTTTAAAACCTAAAAAGAAATCTGTTGAACTTGCATTGCTCAGCAGCTCCTGGAGTTAAATTTGCTTTTACGAGGGTACTGACGTCTCGCTCATCAAAAGCGCACCCTGCCGCGGGCACTGTCCAGCAGGAGCCCCACTGTCACCTACGGAGAAAATACACGTCGCTTCAGCGCAAACCCTGGCACCGCGGGGCGGTCAGTCCCCGGAGCGAGGCCGCCCAACCTGGGCCGCGGGCGGGGCCCTGGGCCTGCTGGCCGCCTTGGGAAGCGATCCGCGCCCGCAGTCCCTCCGAGCGCAGCCGCTCGCCCGCCGCGAGCCGGGCCGCCAGCCCTCGCGGCAGGGAAAGCCGCGGCAGACTAAGCCGGGCCGCCACCACCGCCACCACGACCCTTCACCACCCCCTCTGCTCCACCTTCACCCACCAGCGCCTCCGCCACTTGGCACCGCCGACCGCGCGCAGGCGCACTCTTACCTCAGGATTGAGGTGCACCCAGTAAACCGCCATTTTTTTCGGGCACTGTGGGAGATATAGTTCCCGCCTCATGAGGCACCCTGGGAGGTGTAGTCAGTCAGCCTCCCCGGGGCACCGTGGGAGTTGTAGGCCGCGGTGCGGCGCTGTCCAGTCCTTCGCTGCGACCGGGGCCCTGGGAGCTGCTTTCGGACTGGGAGCTGCTTTTGGAGCTGCTGCTCCTGTCGGTCCGGGAGCGGGGGCCAGAGTGGCGGGGCAATGCGGGGCGGAGACCCGCTGGGGCGAGCCGGGCTGGCGCTGCTCCTCATAGCCGCCGGGGCAGGGGCGAGGCCGCGGCCCGCCGCTCCTGGAGTCCATCCCCGGTCCAGCGTGGTGCTAGTGGCCTGCGACTCCTTGGTGAGTGGCCGGGAAGGGGGGCAGCCCGGCGGCGCGGGGCTGGGCCGCCGCACGGGTGAGGGAGGGCGGGAAAACCCTCGGCAGCGGCCCGAGTGGTGCCGCCGAGGATGCGGCAACGAGGCCATACCGGTGCTTTATCCAGGCTAAAGCCACAGGCGTGCGCCAACAAGGCTGGTTTTTAGTCTCCAGCACCTCTGCGGGGCGGAAGTCTCGCTTGGGACTACAAGGGCGGGCCTACTGTGTCTCAGAGACACTCGGTAACCTTTAGTGTTTCAAACCAAACTCGCCTTTCTTCCAGGAGTGTGTTCCATCCTTGCATCTGATGCATTACAATAGTCAGAAACCTTTGCACAGGTGGTTCCTCCGGTCTAATGTGATACGTACAGCTTGTCACCGCAACTTGGGGTGGAGAGGGGCATGCCAGCAGTACTGCAGGGCACGGCAGCTGCTGCTGGAGCAGAGCTGGTGTGTAAAGTGAATGCTCTTCTGTTGACTTGAAAAGCCGAAAAGAAAGGAAAGTCACTTTAAACCCTGTTATCCTTGCTATTGTAAATCATAAGAACATTAGGTCTCCTCAAGAGATGGGATAGAGAATTTCTATATTCACAAATGAAATTACTGACTTATTCAGTATCACATATTGATTTAGTCAGGCCCTTATAAGGTATAACAACACAATAAACTTGTCAGATGTGTATCTACAACTAAAAGAATAGAGGAATCAGTAGGTATGTAATGGCTTCATCACACTGATTTATTGATGCATTTGGTTTAACACCCAGACAGGTAGAAAAGACTTCTTTTTTTTTCAATCACTAATACTAAGTATGTTTCCTTGGACACACTGAAAGACAGCACATTTTTCACACTTTTCTCACCATGCTTCTAATTGCCCACCCTGGAAGTGCTTTGATGTAGGTTTTACTCTGAGGAGCCTTGGTTTCTCTGCCTCATATGAGCTCTCCTTACTATGGAATCAAACATAAGCTCTGTGGTATTACTTCTAAGGGCTTTCATATCTCATCACTTCTCATTTACTGTTGAGAAATCTTGATTCCTGTCCTTCTCAGAATTCCATCCTTGACTGCACAGAACACTTGACTTCTTGCCTGCTGCCTGAGCTTCTTGGGATGAATGCTTCCTAAATATTTGGTAAATGTGTATTATCTTTTTTCAAACCCTATCTTAAAAGACATACGCTGTGATTTCAAAGATAAAGAAATAGCTTCTTGTTTACTAATACAATAGCTTTGTATAGACTTTCCTTTCTTTGACTGTATTCTTTGTTTATTTTATTTTGAGTATATAATCTCTCTTAAAATTGCAAAGTAATGCATGCTTTTTCTCCAATTGTTCAGCTTTTACTAAAACTCTTATTTACCAGTAGTTGAATTTACAATATTTATGGTCCTTGGGGTTGGTCAATGTCCATTTTGTCTCCAGATACTAGCAGAAGCTGCAGGCAAGTTTTAGTTATACTTCTCTATGTCACCTGTAAACAGGAATATTTTCATGACAGGAATTAATGAGGTAACCCTTACAAAAAAGAAATGTAAAACTCCAGATGTTTTGAAATTCTTACATAAACAATTAAGAACAAAGTGCTGTTTTTGAAAAGTGTCATGTTTACATGGTGCATACAAAGAATATGTTAAAGGCTGTGTTGTTTTTTTTTTTCTGAGATAGATTTGAAGGCAGAAATAGATTAACCATTTTCATTATATCACTAGTAGAGAACAGGTACTGTTGAAACTAACAGTTTTTCTGGAAAAAAGAGGTTAAGTCTTGCAAGCTGTTGAAATGTCTGGGCTTTCATTAGAAAGTGTGCCTGCTTTTGTTGTGGGTCATGCTACCTATGAAAGACGCACACCTATGTTGTCAAGTGTGACAAGAGTTTTCAGTGATGCTGGACTGTGTTTGGCCTCTAGAATAGTGACCTTCTGCTTGAACAGCCAGCTTTCTGCTGCTATGTCACATCAGGCGTTGTGCTTTTTGCACATTTCCGGGAGGAATGTGCTAGCAATTCGGCTCCTGAATTGCTACTTGAAGTAAACTGGATGATGTCAGGCTTTGCTTGCAATGCTGCTCAAGTTCCTGGATGAAATGTGCTTGTTCGTATTAAAACAATTTTATTTCCTTAAGTATTTCAAAACCTGCAAATCCTACATAATTCTTAGAGGGCAAGTTTCCAGAAATAGCTGTTGAGCTTCTCAGCCTGTTCAAGAACAGAACTTTCACTGAATACCTGCATCACCTATAGAAGCAATCATCACGTCTCAGTATAGGAAGTATACCGTGATGCAAAGTATACAGAATTCTTTTGCTAATGTCTTACTGAATATTGTGTCACAGTATCAATATAATGAACTCTTATCTCCAGCTGTCCAAACTGTATCTTCGTTGAAGAAACTTAAGAATGTATTGTTGACGGGATTATGCATCAGTTTTGTACTCTTGTCATGGTTTAGGAATGGTATGCTTCAATTTAGTGTTCCCACCTAAACCACTGCAAACCACATGCTGCTTGCTCACTCTGCCTTCTCTCTCACCCTCCCCTGTGGTGGGCTGGAGAGGAGAATTGGAGGCACAAAAGGTAAACACCACGAGTTGAGATAAGAACAATTTACTGGAAACAGCAGTCAGATAGGGAAACTAACAGTAATGGCAACAATATTAGTAAGAGAGAATACAAGAGAGGCGAGCAATTCACATGTGAATGCAGAGCCTGACAATACTGGAGCCCAACAATACTGCTACCATGCTACCCTCACCCAGAAGGGACACCTTTCCAGAAAATGACATGAGGTAATATAAAATAACCTCCATGTCCTAGCCATGCCCCCTCTGGCAAAAATTAGCTCTGTCCTGGCTGGAACCAGGACAGCTTTCTGAAGAGCACTTTCAGCCCAAAATTTCTTTCAAGTTCCTGTTGCAGATTACAGCTTTACTTCCAGCTTGTCCTACAGAGTGCTTGTTCTAGTTGCCTTTTGTAGTAGTGTACAAAATTAGGTGATGACTCGTTTGTCATGTTCTGATTTCAGAGGCTGGGGTGCCACAGTTAGCTCTACTGATGCCAAATGAAGTGACTCTCTCTACTATGCCATGTTATCCCAGAGTATTTCTGCCAGAAAATGTATGTAGGGAATTGCTTTCTTCTGCTGTTAAAACTGTGCAGTTTCACTGTCACCTGCCTGTACACTGAAGAGCCAGTCAGGCTTGGACTGTGTTGGGACATCTTACTGAACCAAAGAAGGGAATAAAAGTGACTGGAAAAAACAATGACCTGAAATAGAGCAGTCTGCATGCAACCTGGTTTCAAGTGATTATAACTTTTTATTGCAAAAGTACCTATTCAAAATGTTTTGTCTTTTTTAAATTACTGATTAAAAACTCTATCTAAACAAAAGGTGAAAATTAAATTATCAATATGCAAGTATCAAAAGGGAACCACTGTGCTTGGCATTTCAGTGGGAGAATAGCCTTTCTTCAGCTTTCTCATCACTTTTCCAGTACGTAGGTTAAAATAAGTTCAGAGTTGTGCTGTGGATAAACCTTTAAAAATGATGAGGAATCAGGGGTGGTTTCATAGAAATATATACTAGTGCACACATCTGTGTTAGGATTCAGCTTGACTCCTTGTCACCTTTCACTGTACCTATTCCCATTGTACCTATTCCCACTGTACCTATTCCCCTACTCCCTAAAACTGGAGCTTAGAAAATGTATAGTGATGGAAAGGAATTAATTTTACTATGAAGAAGCCCAGTTATCTTTTATGTTGCACTTTTTCATAAGTAATCCATTTTATATTGATCTAATTAAAGCTTCTCAACACTATTTTTCATACCTGGTTAAAAATGGCAGCATTTAAGTGAGTTCAGGGTAACTAGTGGGTTGACCCTGGCCAGGTACCTGGATGCCAGGTACCCACTAAAGCCGCTCTCTCACTCTCCCTTTGCAACTGGACAGAGGAGAGAGAGGGAAAAAAAACAGCTAAGGATTCATGAGTTAACAGCTGGGAGAGGTCAGTTACTGATTACCTTCATGGGCAAAACAGGCTCAAAGTGGGGATATTACCTAAATTTATTACTAACAGGATAATAGCCAAAGAGTGAGAAATAAAACAATCTTAAAAACACCTTCTCCCCACCCCTCCTTCCTTCTATGTTCTCCCTCCTCCCCCCCAGTGGTGCAAGGGGATGGGGAATAGGGATTATGGTCAGTTGTTTCTGCCACTGCTCAGGGAGAGGAGTCCTTCCCTTGCTCCTGTGGGGTCCCTCCCACAGGAGACAGTCCTTGATGGACCTCTCTGGTGTGAGTCTATGCCTCGGGCAGCAGTTCTTCCCAAACTGCTGTCCCGTGGGTCACTCCTCCATGGATTGCAGTCCTTCACCAATGAGCTGTACCGACGTGGGTTCCCCGCAGAGGTCACAAGTCCTACCTGGGAAAAACCTACTCCAGTGGGGGCTTCCCTCTCCACAGGCTGCAGGTCTCCGGCAGGATCCTGCTCCATCTTGGGCCTCCCCTGGGGTCACAGTCTCCTTCATGCATCCACCTGCTCCAGCATGGGCTCCTCCATGGGCTGCAGATGGGTCTCTGCACCCCGATGGTCCTCCATGGGCTGCAGGGGCACAGTTGCTCCACCATGGTCTGCACCACGGGCTGCAGGGGCCTCAGCTCCGGCACTTGGAGCATCTCCTCCTCCTCCTTCTGCACTGACCTTGGTGTCTACATTGTTGTTCCCGTATTCTCACTCCGCTCTTCTGTGGCTGGAATTCTTTCAGCACAACAACCTTCTGTTCTTAACTAGGTTATCACAGAGGTGTTACTATCACTCTTAATTGGCTTGGCCTTGGCCAGCGGAAGGAAGTCCATCCTGGAGCAGGCTGACATTGGCTCCATGGGACAGGGGAAACTTCTAGCAGCTTCTAACAAAAGCCACCCCTGTACCGCCCCCCCCAGTACCAAAACCGAGCCACAGAAACACACTACAGTAACAAATCTATGAATTAATGCAGCCAATAATTTGTGGTAATGGTTGTTTATATGTTGTTTTTCTCTGTTTGATTGCAGGATGGACGCTTGACATTTTTTCCAGGAAATCAGACTGTGGATTTACCTTCCATAAATTTTATGAAAAGATATGGCACTGTCTTTCTCAATGCCTATACGAATTCTCCAATTTGTTGTCCTTCGCGTGCAGGTAGAAGCAAGCAAAACATCAGATAAATGCTTGCATGTGTCAATTTAAATATGTGGTAATGATGGGAAATGTCAAAGCTTTTAATTGCGGGGAACTTGTTTTGTTTTTCCTTTTTTTTTCTAGTTTGTGTCTCAATTTTTACAGTATTCTCCTGTTTCATCTGTTTCTCTTTCCTGTTTCTTATGCTTCCTCCTTTCTTTTCATTTCTTGTACTGCTTTTTTCAGGTAAGTGTAAGCTCCCAAATCTTTTCACAAACTTCACTGAAGCTTCAGATTTTTAAAGAATCATAGAATCGTAGGTTGGAAAAGACCTCTGAGATCATCAAGTCCAACCCTTGATCCAACATCACTGTGGTTACTAGACCATGGCACTAAGTGCCACATCCAGTCTCATCTTAAAAACCTCCAGGGATGGAGCACCCACCACCTCCCTGGGCAGCCCATTCCAATGGTAATTACTCTCTCTGTAAAGAATTTCTTCCTAATATCCAACCTAAACCTCCCCTGGTAGAGCTTAAGACCATGCCCTCTTGTCCTGCTGCTGGTTGCCTGGGAGAAGAGACTGATGCCCACCTGGCTACAACCTCCTTCCAGATAGCTGTAGAGAGTGATGAGGTCTCCCCTGAGCCTTCTCTTCTCCAGGCTAAACAAACCTTGAGGATTTGTAGCAAAATCATTGATTTGTCTGCTGCAATGATGAAACTACACTCAGAACTACTCTCCTATTCCAGTACAAAGTTAATAAATATCTTTCCTGTTCTTGGCAAAAAGTAATAATAATAGCTGAATAAAGTGGTGGCTGTTATCACTGTCTTCCAATGACATTTATTCCAAACACACTTTTCAGTAGCTTTAACTGAATTCTTCAGTATTTTTCTTTACTTAATGCACTTGTTTTTCTTTGTTCAATTTCACACTTGCAGAATTTGCTGGGAATATAGAAAGAAACTGTATTCCTCAAGCTTAAAATGTGTCTAGTCCTTTCAGTTGCAAAGACCCTCCCTCATCTGTAGCTGTAAGGGGGATTCTTCTTTCAAAGCATACACTGGAAGAAACAGCAGGCAAAGGCTGTCAAATATAGTTTTACATTTTTAGTATTCACTTTATTTATAACCTTTTTCTCAAGGTCCCATTTTAAGTGGGCAAGGTTACATGAACAAAGTCTTTTTTTCTTTTTCTTGATTTTTGAATCTTTCAGCCAATTTTTGTTGCTGAGAGCAATAGCTTTGTGTTATTTAATCTTATTAAGTTATTTAATCTTATTAAATGGCAGCTATTGCTCCTAGTGATGAAGACTGTGTAGTATTTTGGGTGGCTGTGGCCACTGGTCAGTCATCACATGTGGGGCTCTGAACCAGCAGGACAGCTTTTGTTTAGCCAGTGGCTTAAACAGCTGCAAGGAAGTGAGGGTACGTCTCATATGGAGGTGTTGTGGATGATACCAGAAGACATGATGGGAAAGAGGACTTTGGGGTGGGGAAAGGAGGAGTATTGGCATGTGGGGTTGATGCACTATGCTTACAGGATATTTTTATTGCTTATAGAATGACTTAGTTTCATTTTAGGATTCCCTTTAACTCTAAATTAGTATTGGAAAGAGTGAACAATTCTTGATAAGTGGCAAAAAAATAGGTGTTGACTAAAACAATCTTCCCTTATAGTTCCTTTGCAACTCTTCCCTTGGTTTCATTTCTTCTTGGTATCTTAAATATTCTCGCTTTGTTTCTGCAGCTGGTAGTGAAGTACATTACCTAAAAAGGATAAAATTGAGGGCATATGCTATTTATGAAAATATTATATTCTCATTCCCTTCACAAATATACCTAAACTCATATTAAAATCTAACTGTAGTAAGGGGAAATAATACTCTGAAAAACATGTAAGTAGAGGACTGTTTGATGGGGATCTGTACTACCATGCCATTTTCTTTCAGAAATCAATAAGAATATTTTCTGATCTAAGAAAACCTTGACTCAATGATTGCTTAGCACCTGGAAGGATGGGACCTTCTTCTGCAATTCTGGGGATTATTTGAGTAAATTTTGTTACTTATATTGATTATGACAAGATTTGAAAGAATAATACTTAGTATTTCTTGCTCTATTGGATCACAATGTGGACTTCTAACCTCTGTAATAATGAGAAGATTAATCCCTCCTCAAGTATACAGGTAGGGGGTACCAATTACTTATCAACATTTTATTTTTTTTTCCCCAGCTATGTGGAGTGGTCTTTTCACCCATTTAACAGAATCTTGGAATAACTTCAAAGGTCTAGATCCAGATTACATAACATGGATGGATCTCATGGAGAAGCATGGCTACCACACACAGAAGTTTGGGAAATTGGACTATACTTCTGGACATCATTCAGTTAGGTAATCAGATAGATTTTTCTGCTACGAAATGGACAGTAGTGAACAAACCGTGTAATGATCTGTTACATGATTTCTATCTCTGATTGAAGTAGTAGTAGCTTGAATTTAAAAGAAATTGTGCTAGATACCTAACAGGGATCTGTCCTGCAACTTTATGCAGAAGCAAGCATATCCCATGCACTTTGGCTTTTACCTGTATATGGAAGGTGATATCAAAACTGGTTTTGCCCAACATGAATGGTTATTTTTTATCACTGGTATTGCTCCCTAAGTGAAATTCATAAACCATTTTTGCCTTGCCTTGAGATTTCCTGGCTTCTGCGTTATACTAGCAGTGTAAGAAAAACAGAACAAAAAACCATAATTATAATAATTTAATATTAAATCTATCATCACAAAACATATGAGAGGTTTTGTGGGGTTTTTTTGAAGGCCATAAATGTTCACAGATTTGTGCTGTTGTGGTGGGTTGACCCTAGATGGACACCAGGTGCCCACCAAAGCTGCTCCATCACTCCCCTTCCCCATCTGGGCAGGGAAGAGAATATAATGGAAGACTTAATGCTGAAAATAAGGTTATAGAGAAATCACTCAGGCACACAGGCAAAACAGACTTAACAGACTTAACTCAGAAAAATTAATTTAATTTATTGGCAATTAGAATTCAGAACAAGGCAATGAGAAGTAAAACCAAATCTTAAAACACCTTCCCCTCACCCTTCCCTTCTACCAGGGATCAACTTCGCTCCCAAATTCTGTACCTAATCCCCTCAGCAGCACAGGGGGACAGGGAGCACAGACTGTGCTCAGTTCATCGTATGTTGTCTCTGCCTCTCCTTCCTCCTCAGGGAGAGGAGCCCTCACATTCTTCTGCTCCAGTGTGAGGTCCCTCCCGCAGGAGACAGTCCTCCACAAACTTCTCCAATTCCTTCCCATGGGCTGAAGTTCTTCACGAACTGCTCCACTGTGGGTCCCTTCCACAGGATGCACTCCCATCTCCTCTGGCTGCTGATGCTGTGCAGTTTTCCCCTCTCCTTCTTCAATATGTTATCCTGCAGGCACTACCACCATTGCTGATCGGATCACCTTGGCCAGTGGTGAGTCCATTTTGGAGCTGGCTGGCATTGGCTGTATCTGAAATGGGGGAGGTTTCTAGCAGCTTCTCAGAGTAGCCACCCTTGTAGGCCCCCTGTTACCAAAACCTTGCCATGCAAAACCAATAGGCCTGTACTTCCTATGCTTTAAAGCTTACTGTGACTAGGAATTACAAAAATTAAGGAAACATAGTTAAACATTTAGAGAATAAGTGCATTATGTTAAAAAAATAATAGTCATAATATGTCTGGATAGTTGGGACAAAAAATGGTGTCTTCCTTCTATGTAGTTTTTATGAAGATGCTGTATCTCACTGATTAGTAATGATGTCTGTCTTACGACCCGCCCCAGGAAAAGGGGAGGGGGTAACTCAGGTTTTTATCAATAATTCCCTTGGGGTGGATTAAAGTGAAACAACACTAAATAATCTGTGTCTGAAAACATATATTAACAAGGTTTATTTTAAACATATATAGGTAGGGTTCATTTTAACAATTTTGTTTCAACAGGTATGTTAGCATTTTGGGTGTTGTCATCTATATAATTTATAGCAATATGGCATAGGGATAACTTCGGGGGGAAAATGCATAAGGGAGAGAAAGGAAAGACAGGGTAAGGATAAGGGAGAGTAAGGGAAAGAAAATACGAGAGTGGAAAGATGCATATAGTCACCGCCCACGGGGTCCAGCGATGACACTTGGTAGTTGCAGCTCCCATGTCTGTCGGTTGAAGTGGTGGCCTTGATCCGCTGGGGGTGAAGGAGGGAAGCCCTCACACTCCAAGAAGTTATGAGTTATTATATCCATGGTTAGGTTCGAGTCCCCGGTCTCCTGGCCTGATGGAGGTCGTTAGCCCTGTGTGGCCATCCATCTATGAGAAGGACACTCTAAACAAACCTACGTCCTGAGGACCTCACTGCCATTGGCCAAGCAAGCTTGGACAATGGCAG